AATACCAAAACACGATTATATGTGTAAACAAATATATAAACACATATTAATTATAAGTTTCAATAAAATTAATGAAACTGAGTTCAATGCTACTCATAGATGTATTAATAATGATGAAATTGTTATAAATTAAAATAATGATTTATTTGTTAATGATAAATATTTCAATGTTAGAAGATTTGATGTATATTATTAAAACATAAAAGAAGATTGATATATTAATGATGTTGATATATTCAAGATAGAAATATAAAATTAAATTATTTTCCAAAATAAATAAATATAATGAATTAGATATGAAATAATATATTAGAAATAATAACTGTAATATTATCAATAAATTGATACATAAAGAATCATTAAAAGATTAAAATCACTAAAATTACAAATTATTTTCAATAAATCTATGAAGAATTATCATTAAAAATATGAATGATCTAATACTTTACACAAGAAATATGACAATATATTAGAAGAATAATATTCTAATTCTCACATTATGAAAATAAATTCTAAGATAGAAATAGAACATATCAAAATCACTGAAATAATCACTTCTCAATATTCATAAATTCAAATTGTTAATATATTAACTATCTTTTTCAATAAACAAACAGTACACTCTTATTACTTCATCACTTATTCATTATATGGTTTAATTATGTAATAAAAAACAATAAAGTCAGGTTCTTATTTTATTACTATTTTATTAAAAGCATATTCTGGGAATGATGTTTATTTTGATTGAAACTTAAAGGAAGAAAAATCATCTCATTAATCAAATAATTAAATCTTAATGGAAGAAGAGATATTTGTTGGCATTGATTTAGGAACAACATTTAGTTGTTGTCATTTCTTTAATACTCAAACAAAAAATATGAATGTATCAATTACTTAAATGGAAGTTCAACAATTCCATGAACCGTTGACTTTTTCATACAGCCTGTTAGTGTTGGAATTTCTAAGCCTACTTCCATTTGTGAAGAAAAAGATTTATTGGAAAGAAATTTGATAATGAACAAGTTTAAGAAGACATTAAAAGAGCATATTATCCATATCAAATAGTTAAAGCAGATGACGGGTATTGTCAGACTGTAGTTGACTATTCTGATAAAGAAGAAGAACTGATTGAACCAGAAATTGTTTCAGTTATTGTGTTAAAAGCAATTAAAATTGAAATTCAACGTAGATTAAATTAGAGATGGTGCAGTTTTAAAAGCAGTTGTGACTGTTCCTGCATACTTTGATGATTCTCAAAAAGATCGAACCAAAAAAGCCGTGTTGATGGCAGGATATAGTTTAATTCGTTTGTTGGCTGAACCGTCAGCAGCTGTATATGCATATGGATTAGAAAGTACGGAAGATAAGACACACCTTGCATTTGGTCTTGGAGGAGGGACACTTGATGTTACTATACTAGAAAAGAAAGGAAACGATTTTAAGTTTAAAGCAACGGGTAGTGATGTTCATTTGGGAGGATTAGATTTTGATATGAATTTAATGGAACTCGTTATATCTGAGATGAAAGAAATTAATGAGAAGAAAGCACAAAGATTTATTTTGAAAGGGAATGATAGTCAAACACAAAAAAAGCAAAGAAACAATGAAGATATAAATTAAGAAAAGAAGTTGAAAAAAGCAAGGATTGAGTTATCATCAACTAGTTATTATGAATTCAATATTTTAGAAATAGTTGGTGAGGATGATTTTGTTATTATTATTGATAGAACTGAATTTGAAGATTGTAACCAAAAAGAGTTTGACCGATGCATGAAGTGTGTTGATGATATATTGACGAAGACAAAACTCTCACCATTAAAAATTGGAGAAGTTAGCTTGTTAGAGGAAGTTCACAAATTCCTAGAATCAAAGAGTTATTAGAAGCCAAGTTTACAACATCAAAAATCAATGATACTATTGATTGTAATTTGGTTGTATCACAAGGTGCAGCTCGATATGCATTTGAATTTTCTACGGGAATGATTAAAAGTATTACAGAAGTAACTCCACATCCTATTAAGATGGCAGGACCTTATGGTAATCTCATTACTATTGTTGAAGATGGAACAGAGATTCCACACAAACACAAATATGTATTGAAGTCACTGGATGGAGTGTACAAATAGAATTATTTGAAGATGATAAATCATTAGGGCACTATGTCATTAGCAATATTCCAAAAGGAGAGCGATTGGTAGTTTTTGTTGTAAAAGTTGAAGAGGATGGTACAATTACTGTTGATGGAGAACTTTCAAATGGAACGAAGTGTGAATGCAAAGCACAAATAGAAAAGAAATAAAATAATGAAGAAGAGATTACAATTGAGAAAGAAAAGATAGATAAATTCTTTGCTCAAAATTGAAATCATTGATAATTTTTGTTTTTTTAGTTGATAAGAACTTGATAAATCATAAAAAAGAACATGACAACAATTACTTTCCAAATAGGAAATAAACCAATAACCACAACACACAAAACATCAGAAATAGTTGGAATGAATGATAAAGATCTTGAGGATTTTTATCAGAAAGAAATGAGTAACAAGAAATTTGAAAGAAAAACAAAAAAAATGATATGAATAATTGATAAAAACAAGTTGAATTAATAAAAGATGCACACTACAACATCATCACAAAATGCTATGATGATGACTATCAGTTGAATGAAGAAGGAATGAGAAGTATTGTTTGTTAAATATGGTATTTTATATAAAACACAAGAAAATAATAAAATAATAATAAATGATATAGTGATATTATCAGTACAATGATAATATATTACATCAATATTGACTACATCTCGAAAATTTAATTTACTTCTTTTTAATTAAACAACATAAATAATATAAATAAACAAAAAGAACAAGAGAAATGAGAAAGTTTATTGAAACAATCATGAATGATGTAATTGACATATTCAAAGAAGATAATCAAGTATGATATTATAAAATCATTAAGTTGTGTAAAATTGAATAGTATCTTCATTGTATCATTTATCAAGTAATCAAAGATTAATGAAATGAAAATTGAGATATAACAATAAGAAAATGATTACATTCAAATGAAATATTGAAATGAGTGAACACAAATACATACCCCAACAACAAACAAAAGATAAATAATACAGAAAAGAAATAAAGAAACTACACAAAATAAAAATAAATAATAAAGAAAAGAATAAATTGAAATATAATCAAATAACAAACATACAATAAATAAATACAAATAAAAGAACAAAACAATGAAATGAATAATAAAGAAAATAAGAAATAATATAAATTAAAACAATTTATATGTATTATTCGACTTTACATAAAAAAACAGAAAATAAGAAAAATTAAATGAATAAAGAATGATGTAAATGAGTAATTAAAAGAATTTAAATATATTAAATTAAAGAAAGATAACAACATAATACAGGAACAATAAAATAATAATAAATAATAAGAATAACAAATATAACATAATAAATTTTAATAATCAATTCATTATTAATTTCATTATTCATCACTCTTTCATATGAAATGAAATTAATAAAGAAATAAGTTAAATTATAATCAATCATTATTATTTAATAGTGATTGAAATAATCTTATTATTTATATAGTTTGTATTCAAGTAAACAATAATGAATAAAAATCATTGCATTTCAATTACAATAATTCGTTGTGGTATGAAGTACTTTGGATGTTGTTTTCCACAAAGTGCATTTCTTATTCCATTATATTCAAATGAACGTTGAAAACAAGATGATTTTGTTTTATTATGTTCTTTACAAACACAAATATCACTCCATCCAATTCCAATTCCAAACAAATAATCATTTGATTTATTAGGTAAAAAAAATGCATGTTCTGGATCATTAACATCAAATTTCATCATTCCTTTTATTCTTCCATTTGATTCTAATGAAAATAAAAATGATTTTGGATCATATATACAATAATCAATTCTATGAATTTTAGCATCAACATATCCTCCAAACTTATTTCCTTTTGTGTCTTCAATAATAATTATTATATGTTCTTTACTCACTATTCGTTTATCAAATACTGATGTATTAATATTCCAATCATCAATATCTGAATTAAATAGTATATTTCCTATTCTTCTTTCTGTCCATTCTTCAAGTTGTTCTATTAGTTTTTCGTAAGATATTCTATTTGTTGATGTTGTTGTTCCCATTATTTGTTATTGTATCTTGTTTTTAAGATGTTTTATGTTATTTTAAAGTTCATTATTGATTATTATAATAAATTTATAGTTAATAACCTTGTTTTAATTGATCTACTAAATAATAAATAGACTAGTGTTAATTTTCAAGTGAAATATCTAAAGTACATGAAAACTTTCACATGAAACATTGGAATGGTTTACAACAATTTTAGAATTGTAATTAAGAATGTTAATTAAAAAATTTTATTTTTTGTTGTTTTATTTCTATTTTTATGATTATTTTATACCTTGTTTTAAATAACATATTTATATTTTTGTTATTATTTATTATTTTTCATTTATGTTAATGTCAATAACGAATAGTATACTCAATGACTATACTTCTTTTTATTCTATCTGAAGGGTCATTTATTTGTACATTAAATAATCTAATAAATAACTTTATTTCTTTATCTTTATTTTGTTATTCTTCTTATTATTAAGTTATTTCATTTGTGTTATTTTGAACATCAAATTATTTTGTTTTCTTTAAATTTCTTCTTTCAGTGTCTTTCTTTAACACCTGACTTTATAGTGATTTTGAAATTATGCTTTAATGATTATTTAATTTCTCTTTCTTATTACTTCATAGTATGATAGTACAATTCAGTTATTATGTATTTAGATATTATAATTTGAACGTATAATTAATACTGATAATAAGAAATGTATGCCAATGAGAATTATAAATAATTATTATCCTAAAACATTAGCCTTTCATCTGATAGTTTTAGTGACTCTTTATAAACTACACAAAAACTAACCAATAAAAAAAAGTTGGAGATTTCATTTACTGAGGAGTCGTTTCTGTGGTTCAGAAACATCAACTTTATGAGGAATTAAATAATTGATACTTGGAATAATTTCCATTCCAAATTTATGAATAAGGAATTCATTTTGGAGTTTTTTTGTTTGACATTTTTGAAATTCATTGCTTTCTAAAGTAAGTCGAAAAACGTCTTGATAAAATGGATTAATTGCACTTAATGAAAAACAATTCATTAGTGTATCATCTGTAGTATTTGTTGGTAAATTTATTTTAATTGTAGTACTATTTTGATTAAGAATATATGAAAGTTCTAACTCTACATTTTCAATAGAAAGATAATTGAACCCATAAATAAATCTAGAATTGAAGAATTCTCTAGAAATAATATCTCTATTATATAATCTATCTATTACATATAATAATAGTTTTTTCTTTCCTAAAACAGTTGTTCTTATCTCTGTTTTACACAGATTTATATCTTTTATAATAATATCATTTGTTATATTTCTAAAAATTCTTTCTAAAGGAGTATAATACCATAAATGATCATTAATAAATTCAATAAAAATTTCTTTTTCATTAAATAAACTAAATAGAATTTGGTCTTGAATTATTTTTTTAAAGAAGTGAGGAAGAATTAATATTGAAGGACCTTTATATTTTTTATATTCTTTAAGTTGTTGAACAGTTGGAACGAAGACATTTTTTAAATAATTAACTATTGAACTTTTTGTTATAAAATTACTTCCTATTTCCTGATGAACTCCATGGAATTGTTTTTCTAATTCTTTACTCATTTGTTCTGTTTGAGTACAACATAAAGGAGGAAAACAATAACCACTCCCTGAAACACAAAGTGCAATTGTAGAGTTTCTTGTTTCTCTTCCAACATACAGTTCTATATTTTTATCAGTATCTTTGTGAATAATACTTTCTTCTTGATTACCAACAAAAAGTCTAAAATCATAAGTGTCAAATGTAAATATCCATGATGCATCAATACTATTATATTTATGTAATCTTTGTACCATTTTAATTATTTTTTCTTTATTCAATTCCATTTTAAGTGGTAATTTAATAGTTTTTTGTTGTTTAAATCCAAATTTATTCAATAATGAAAGAAGATTTTGTTTATTTATTTGAATAGTATATTGTTCATTTAATTCAAATGTTAATGTATTTAACGTTATTGATTTCTTTTGATTATTTATTTTTGATAACTTGTTAAGTAACATATAATAAACCATATTCTTTTTCTGAGAGTATATAAGATCTTGTTGTTCTTTTTCTATTTGAACAGATTTATTATTTTGAACTTTTGTTTGAGATATTAATTTAATATGGTTCAAAATATTATAAACATTTATATCAATACTTTCATTTGTTTTGTTATTTATTTGTTCTAATTCTTTAATTGATTGATTAATTTTTATTGTAGCTTTATTACAGTCATTCATCATTTCTTCATCTAAAAAATAAAATTTAACTTTTTCAATTTTAATTATATCTAAATATTGTCTATAATATTTACTTGTAATAATAAGTATTTCTTTGTCTGTGCTATTTAATAATTGTTTTCTTCTTTCTATATGAATCATTAAATTTTCTATAAACCATGTTTTAAATTCTTTATTAGTAAAATAATTTTTTGTTTTAAGTCTTTCTGTTTGATTAAAAGAAGTAATATATTCTCCCATTCCATTAACACATAGCACATTACATGAAACTTTATTTCTTCTATCAAGTATTAAATTAAGTGATTGTTTTTCATTATTTTTTAATAATGAATTAATTGATCTTTGATACAATTGAATTTGAATTCCAACTTCATCAATAAAAAATGTTAATTCTTTTCCATAAATTTTCATTTCATGATCAATTTCATTTTTTAATTGATTTATTTTTATTTTTAATTTAGAATCTTTTATTGGTTGATTTAATTTTATTGATATAAACTTCATTTGTAATTGTTGTATTATATTTGTATCAATTTTAATTATTTTTTTAAAATTTTCTTCAATGAAACATTCTATTAATGAAGGAGTAACTACTATTTTTTGATTAATGCAATTATAATAAAAGTTAATAATACTCTTCTTTAAGTCAGTTGTGATAGATGTTTTTTGTGATTTCATAAATACATTTTTTAAGTTAGAAATTCTTGAATAACTTCCAAATTTTAGAAAAAAATCATTTTTTTTTTAAAATATAAAAATTCAAATCAATAAATTTTAATGAATTTAAAGAATGACACAAAAAATCATTATCAACAACGTAACCATTATTTGATATCCAGAAGATCTAGTGTTTGTAGTTAAATATCCACACTTTCCAGAAATACATCTTAAACCAGGTCCACATTTTCCACAATAAGGTTCACAAAAATTACTAAAAATATTATCTGAGTCTGAAGAATTTTGAAGAGAAATTATTGAATATGAATCTTCACTACATTCATTAACACAAAAAGCAGAAGTAGTATTACATTCAATAATATCATTAAAACCTTCTATTCTTTTAAACTCTAATTTATGAACAGAAATACTTGCTCCAATAATTCCTTTTAATTTAATACTTACAAAATTAACATAAGAAGAACATGAAGTATCAACATTAATTTTAAGAAGATTACCATATAAAACAGTATTTCCAACTTCATTTTTATATTCTTTTGTTCTATATAAAGACATTACATTAGAACATTGAACTTCTTTATCCGTTTCAAATTTATTAATATCAGCTAACGTAAACATATCTGCTGTTTGAAAAATAATTTTACAGTCAGAAGTAAATTGAAATTCAAGAACATTAAAATACCTATTTAATTGAAAATATGTTGGATATCCAAGAACTATTTCAATGTCTTCTGTTGAAAACGAAAATGAAAATTCATCATTTTGTATTTGAATTGGTTTTAATCGTTGTGAAGGAGTTACTCGATATAATTGCCAATAAAAAGAAGGGTCATAATGAATAATTTCTTTTCCTTCTTCAAAAACAATACTTTCAGGAATAAATTGGCAAGTCTTTGTTAAGTTATATCGAGGGAATTGACTAAATGCAATATATTGAGTATTTAGAATTGGTTGAACTTTAGAAAATGTTACAGTAATACGTTGTAAAGAAACCAACTTAATTGATGATTCATTAAAAAATGGAATAGTGTATATACCTGTTAAAGTGTTTACTGGATACTCTTTATTTTCAAGAAGTAATAAATAATGAGGAAGAACTGTATTAATTGGTTGAATATCAACTGTTAATTCATTGACACTAACAATAATAATAGAAGGATTTTTATCTATTGGACATGAAATAAACTGAAAAGCAATTGGAATAACTGTTATTTCTGTGTTAGTTATAGATAATGATTCACAAATTGTTGAACTTCCATAAATCATTTTTTCATCTTCTTCTTCATGATAACCAGCAATCATTACTCTATGTTTTGTTCCTCCAGTAGAAGTTAATTCCATACATTCACCACATCTATTTGTTTGTTTAGAAATAATAAAAGATTTATGGACATATACTTCTAATGATAAAACAATTCCTTCAACCTTTGAACTATTACCAGGAAATGTGAAACAGTGAGTTAGTTTTAAGTGATTTGGTATAGTAGTAAAATGAAAACCGAATACACAAGGTGATTGTTGATTATTTATAGAAGATTTATATCCTGCTATTACAAAATAAATCAACGATATAAAAACAAAACAAAACATTAACTTTTAATAATTTTTTTTTGTTCTAATTTTTTTTTAATATTAATATTTAATAATATAAAAGAATTATAAATATAACAAAAATTATTATATTATATTTCATTACAACCCAAATGGTAAATTAAAATCATTAGACTTTAATTTTGAGACAAAAGAAGATATTTTTGGTAATGGATGAAAAGATGGAAGTTGTTCTTTCATTGTTTTAAATAAATCATCTAAATAACTTGTTGTATTTTGACTTTCAACACTTTGAGCTTCATCTATTTGATTAATTTTCTTTAATTTACAATTCTTTGGAGTAGATGGTACAGTTCTATATTGACAATAGTCTTCTTCTTCAGGAAGAATAGATAATTCTTTTTCATTAAATATTGGGATTAAAGGGATATGTTGTTCAACAAAAAGAGATGATAATTTATTCATAATAAAAGTGTAAGAAGGTTCAGTAGCATCTACATTTTCTATAATAGTTTGAAAAGAGTTAATTACTGGCATTTGAATTTGAGTATATTTATAAATTCCACTTTCTTTAAATTGAATTTTTTTTTCACAAATTTGTTGAGGAGAATCAGTTAAACTATTCCAAGGTAAAGTTCCAAGAATATTTTCAAAATAAATAAAAAACGCAGATACCAAATCATCAGTTCTAGATACTGGTTTTCCTAAATGAGCATTAACAGAAGCATATTGTAAAGTTCCTCTAAACCCTCTATGTTCTTTTCTATTTGTTTTATTTCCAAATTGGTCTTGATAATATTCAGCAATACCAAAATCAATTAAAACAATGTCTTCTTTTCCTTTAACTACAAAATTAGAAGGTTTAATATCACAATGAACTATTCCTTCTTTATGAATAAATTGTAAAATTTTAATCATTCTTAATAATAGTCTTAATGATGTATCTTGTGTAAAGTGATGTTCTGGAAGTTTTTCTTTAAATACTTTTAAATTAATTCCATGAATATCCATAACCATAATATATCCAAAATCAGAATATCCACACTCTATCATATTAATAACTCCTTCATTATGTTCTAATTTTCTTATTATTTTTGTTTCAGTTAATGCATCATTATCTTGACAAAATATTTTTAATGCTGCAAATTGTGTTGGATCAATAGTATTTTGACATTTATAAACAGACCCTAAAATCATTCAGTTTTATTCTTCTTATACTTTTAATTTTATTACTTTATTTTTTTTTTAAATTACAAACCAAATCCACCTTCCCCAAGTTTATTAATAATTATCCAATTATTAAAAGATTTCCCAATTGCAATATCTTTTGTTGTTTCCATCGTTTAATGTTAATTAATACTTTTTTTTAAGTTTAGACGAACTTTGAATTAAAATAAGATAAGTTTAGAAGGAGAGTTAGATTCTATTTCAAGTGAATTTCCCTTTTTCTTATTTTTATTTGTTAATAAAGGAATCAATTATGAATTACCTATATTTAGGTTTATTTTTATTTGTTAATAATAAAAAAAATTAAATGAAAACTAATAAAATTATTCCTTTTATGGCAGTTATTTCCTTTTTATATCTAAATTATATTTTATTGTATTTTGTTATTTACTATTTCTATTACTCTTCTTCGTATTTGAGAAGATGATTGTAATGAATATGATTTTTCCATTGAATTTGACCTTCTAAATATTGTTCTTCCTCCTTTTTTATGAATTATTTTCTCAAAATGAAACAAATCTCCAGGCTGATTAAATCCCATTAAAAATAGATGTGGATTTCTCTTTAAAACTGGTTCATACCAATTCCCATCTTCATTACCTAAAATTACTTCACTAACTCCTTTTATTCCTTCAACAATATTTTGTCTCATCTTCTCATCTAATACTGTTTCTCTTTGCTTTATTCTTTTAACAACACTATCTCGTGCAATAATAACAATTACTCTTCCAAAGTGAGCAGCTTCTTGTATATAATGAATATGTCCAGGATGAATTAAATCAAATGCACCAGCAATCATAACTTCATATGGCCCTTCACCAAATCTTTCTTTTAAATCGTGCAGTATTTGTTTTGTTTGATTTGTTTTTCCTTTCATGTATAAAATAAAAGTTTAAACTTACTAACTTTTTGAGCTTTTTCTTTTAATTAAAAAAAAACGAGAATATTGAATTTCATTCTAAATCATTTGATTTTCTTTCAATATTTCTTGTTCTGTACCTCATACCTTTCAAAAAGTTATCTTTTTTTCAACAAAATTTTAATATTTCATATATTTTATATTGAATATTTATTTAATTTATAATTTTGTTTATAAAAACAAAAATTTATAAATAATTGTTTTTTCTAAAAGAAACTTTATAACCAAATGATTTTATTACGAAAAGTTATTATAACTTTTTAATAGTATTGAGAATAAATTTTTATAACAGTATATTGATTAATTTTATGATTCGAAAGTTCAACTAATTAAAATTTATTAAGAAAAAATAATTATTTCTATTCAATAATTTACTTTGAAAAATTAATTATTATAACCTGTTTAAGAAATAATATTCTAATAAGTTATTAATTAATTATTTAAATAAACACATTGCTTTTAATCTTACTTTTTTCATATATTTATTTTGTAATTAATTAAGTCTATAGAACAGAAATAGTTTTATCCTTTGTTATCAATTTTTGGTTTATTTTTATGGTTCCATTATATACTAACCAATACAAAAAATAGTTTTATAAATTTGATCTTTTCTATCAATAATCTACTTATTTTTCTTTGACAATACATCAAAAACTCAATACTTTATTTTTCTTTTGAAAAATAACAATAAAAACAAAGAATAAAACCCTTAATCTATAAATATAAACGAAACGTGTCTCTACTTGTCAAATACATCTATCAATTACATGATATTAAAAAAATAAAATATAAAAGAAAAATGTGTTATCAAAAAGAAAAACATGGAACCAAAAATGAGAAAAATGAAATTTTTAATGAATAGAAATTACTGAAAAAACAAAAAGAAGGGTGTTATGAATAAAAAAAAAGAAAGAAGAACTGAAAGGGTTGACTAAAAAATTCATTAATTGAAAACATGACTGAAATGAAAGAAGTTAAGGCTATGACTCCAAAAGAGTTTAAAGCTAAGTCAAAACCAAAATTTGCTGCTAATTTTGAAGAATATTACCCTGTTAATACACTTAGAAAGTATGGATTTGAACGACATGAATGTCCTATCTGTCATGAACATTATTGGAGTACAGCAACTACTAGAGTAAAAACATGTGGAGATTCTAATTGTGAAGGAAAATATAAATTTATTGGAACTGGTTGTGGTATTGGAGCTAAAGGACATAAAATTACTATTGATGAAGCATGGAAAACTTATGAAAAAGCTTTAACTTCTACAGAAATCCCAGCTACTGCTATTAAAAGATACCCAGTAGTTGCCAGATGGAGAAATGATGTAGATTTTGTAGCTGCAGGTATTTATTGTTTCCAACCATATTGCGTTACTGGACAATTAGAACCACCAGCCAATCCATTAATTTGTCCACAATTTTGTCTTAGATTTAATGATCTTGATAATATTGGAATATCAGGAAGACATTTTTCTGGATTTATTATGATTGGTCTTCAAGTATTTAACTCACCCCAAAAATATGTTTACTTTAAAGAAGAATGTGTTGATTATAATCTTAGATGGTTAACAAAAGAACTTGAAATTGAACTTGATGATATTACCCTTATTGAGGATGTTTGGTGTGGTGGAGGAAATCTTGGACCATCAATTGAAATGTTTGTTAAAGGACTTGAAGTTGGAAATATGGTCTTTACTCAATACAAAATTCTTGATTTCGTTAAAGGAGAATTTGAACCTTTGAAACATCAAGTCATTGATGTCGGAATTGGACTCGAGAGAATTCCTTGGTTAATTAATGGAACACCAACTTCTTATTTAGAAGCATTCCCAGGTGCAGTTAAATACCTTCAATCAAAACTTGGAGTCACTTTAGAAAGTGATGTTATTTCTAAGTTTGCTCCATACTGTTGTTTACTTAATTTGGATGAATGCAAAGATGTAAATAAAGCATGGGCGGATATTGCTAAAGAATGTGGAGTTGAAAATAGAGAGGTTTTACAAAAAGCTATTCAACCAGCAAGAGATCTTTATATTATTGCTGATCATTCAAGAACTATGTTAATTGCAATTTATGATGGAGCTTTACCATCTGCTGTTGGAGGAGGAGCTAATTTAAGAAATATAGTAAGAAGAATGTTTAGTATTCTTGCTAGGAATGGATGGTGGGAAAAACTTGGTGGTATGGATGGACTTATGGAATTATTTGAATTCCATAAAAAAGACCTTGAAAAGATATATGGCAAATTTGATGAATATAAATCATTTAGAAAGATTATTGAAATGGAATACCAAAGATGGTGTACTACTGATATGGAGTCACAACAAAAAGTTCAAACTTTACTTAAAAAGAAAAAAGGTGTATTGACTGTTGATGATTGGATCTTTGCAATGAAATCATATGGATTATCTCCAGATAAAATTAATGAAATTTCTAAACTCCCAGTTCCAGATAATTTGTATACTAAACTTGCAGAATTAGAAGACCAAAGAGTTAAAATGCTTCCAACAGAATTATATGAAACTGCTGACATTCCTGAAACTAAAGAACTTTTCTATGAAAATGGTAATTTAAGAGAGTTTAATAGTGAAATAGTCAGTGTATTAGAAAAAGTCGACGAAAAAGGAAAAGGTACTGGAATTCATAATCTTGTTATTTTGAAAGAAACTGCGTTTTATCCAATTGGGGGAGGACAAGATAATGATACAGGAAAGATTAAGATTGATGGAGTTATTTATGATGTTACTTATGTTGAAAAAGTCGGTAAATGTATTCTTCATCATATTAACTCAGACCTTAAGAATTGGGAAGAACTAAAAGGTAAAATGGTTATAGGATATGTTGATGATCAAAGAAGAAATCAATTAAGAGCTCATCATACTGCAACACATATTATTCATCAAGCAGCACATCAAGTTCTTGGTCCACATGTATGGCAAAATGGAGCAAAGAAAACAGTTGAAGAAGCTCATTTAGACATCACCCATTTCTCATCTATTACTAGAGAAGAAGAAAATGCAATTGAAAAACTTGCAAATGAAATGATTCGAAAGAGCTTGAAAATTAACAAATTTGTTTTATCTAAAGAAGAAGCTGAAAAGAGATATGGATTTTCTTTATATCAAGGAGGTGTTGTTGCTGGTAATGAAGTTAGAATAGTTGACATTTCTGGTTATGACACTGAGGCTTGTTGTGGTACACATTGTGATAATACTTCACAAGTTGGACTTATTAGAATTATTAAAACAAACAGAATTTCAGATGGTGTAGTTAGAATTAGATTTGTTGCTGGTGATGCCGCTTATAAAAATATGGCAATGGAAAAGAATCTTATTAATGATCTTTGTGATTCTTACAGCGTTCTTCCAGAAGTATTACAACCAACTCTCGAAAGAATCTTCACTGATTATAAAAAATTAACAAAACAAAGCAGTAAAATGATTGGTGAAATTTTCAATTTGTATATGAGAGTAATTCTTGATGAAAAGAATAAAATGGTATTTGCCTCAATCCCTGGTGCTACTCAAACCACTTGTGTTTCATTTATTCCACAACACGCTCCAGAATTTAAAAAAGCAGGTAAAAGTGTCTTAGTTCTCGGTGAAGGAATGGTTTATGCATTAGTTAACACTTCTGATTTCAAAGCAGAAGAATTAAAAGATGTTCTTGAGAAGAGCAAAGTTTCAAAAAGAAAACAAGAAAAGAAAGATGAAGGAAAAGAAGAGAAGAAGGAGAAGTCCGTTCCATTCAGAGTTTCTCCTTTAAAAGTAAAAGCAAAAGGAAAGAAACCTGAAGTCATTGAAGGATATGTAGAAGTTACTGGAAGTATTGGAGGTAATGTTACTTTAGTTACTGATTTCCTTAAGAAAGCAGGATTTATTGAGTTCCAACTCTAAAAAATAAACTTGGTTTAACTAGTTTTTTGTTAAAAGATTATTTATTTTTAATTTGTGTTTGAAAATTGAAGTTTTCTTAACAAAAAAGAAGAGTGATAAATGTTTATTCCATTCACAGATAATTCTTCTTATACATAGTGTTATTACAAGCCAAAGGTTATTTATTAAAAGTCTTTTTAATGGTTATTTAGAAATTTTAGTTATAAAAAGTTGAGATAATTATCAAACCGATTTCAATAAAACACTTTTATGGTTTTCTTATTATTGAATTTAATAATCAGGTATTACACATATATTTTTATGTAAAGAAGTGAAAATATCAATGAATAATATCATAATCTTGTTTTATGTTATTTTAATTATTTATCAAAAAGAGGATTTTGTTTTTATAAACAAATCATTTTAAATATTTTGTTCATAAAATTATTGTCATATTTTTACAAGTGTTAAAGCCAATTAGTTCTATATCAGTTAAGGAAATAATGTTTTCTTTAATATAGTATTGTTCAAATATTTATTTGAGACAATGAGATGTTTTAAAAGTAGTAACAAAAACATTGGTTATTGTGTTAGTTCTAATTCTTGTTCAATTAAAAATATCACTTTAATCAAAAATGAAAAACTGATATAAGTAATTGATATAACAATATGCAATGTATGAAATATTAACATAAAATAGGTTGGTATAAATAATTTAGAAAATGGGTGTGTTGTTATAAAGTTATGAGTAAGATTTTAGTTAATGAAATTTTATTCACTTGTTTATTTTGAGAAATGGAGATGGTAATTATTAAATAGATAATTCTATTGAAGGAGATAATAATAGGGTGTAAGGATATACATTTCAAATATGGAGAGTGGGAAATAGGGATATGGGAATGGAAAGATATAAATTCAACAAGAAGTTCAAAAGAAAACAATAGAAGTGTTTCTGATTTAGTCCATATATATTAAATAAATTATAAAATATAGTTTGGATTTTATAGAATAAAAACATACAGAACAAAAATAGTGTTAATGCCATACCCAAATCAAATCAGCAATACACAGTATTAAACAGTTAAGACTAATATTATGTTATCGTTAGAAATAAGTATGAACAGAAAAGAAAGAGAAGAAATGATAAAACAGAGAAAAAACACAAGAACAAAAATTTGGAACAATGATAAAATGAATGTAATAAGAAGAAAGATAAAATTAAGGATAAAGAGTACTAATACAAAAAGATTATAGAAATAAGAAAATAATAGAAAGAAAAGAAATAAAGAAACAACATTTAAAACATAAAAATGAAGAAAAATAGAAAAAGAAATATCTGAAGAAAAAAAAAAGAGGAAAACATAAAGTGGAACAAGACAAGAATAACTTTAAAATCATATATAATGTCCATTATAACAAGGAACAGATATGCAGATAAAAGAAATTATCAATCAAAAGTTAGAGCATTTTGTATTGCACTAATAAATAGACATTGTGATGTTGAAGTGAAACAACGAAGAAATGTTAAATGTATCACATTACCATTTTTTCAAATTAAAAGACTTCACTTTAATAATAAGAAAGAATATTTATCGATTTACAAGAAATAATTAAACAAAGAGTATATGGATTAGAAGAGACAGATA